TGCAACATCTGCTGCGTGCAGCTGGTTTCGGCCTTGCCGCCATGCGCCTTCCTCGATGCATTGGCGCATCTGGCGCCAGGAGGCGCCAGAGAAATCAACTGCGTAAGTCGGGCGGGTGGGGGGGTGACCTAAATCCGAAATGGGGGGTGAAGAAAATGCCCTCACCCCCCATGGAGGTCACCCCCCAATTCCACCCGCCCGAGTGAGCTGATTCGCGACTTCCCCCTTTACTGTCCCCACCCCTTTCGCCCGGCCTAACACTCCTCCTTGATCCGCGCCCCTCGTGGACACCGCTCCTGGCGACAGGGCCTCGGGCCTGCGCGCGGGTGGTTAGGTGCAGCCTCTCGTTGGTCCTCCTTCAAGTTCGCGCTGATCACAGCGGCGTGCTTGTTTTTGTTGTCCAGCTGCCTGCGGCAAACCCCGCCACCGTGCCTGTGCAACAGCGCAGCAGGAAGGAGGCTGAGTGCAGGAACAAGGCAATTCCGACGAGTAGTCTGTATTGGGGCAGGTCGTGATCCTAACCTCGTCTTCGTCCGCGCTGTAGGGATGATGAGGAGGAGGCGGTTGAGGAGGAGGAGGAGGCGGAGGCGGAGGAGGAGGAGGCGGAGGATGAGGAGGAGGAGGAGAAATGGGAGGAGGAGGAGTAGGAGGAGAAGGAAGAAAATGAGGATGAGGAGGCGAAGGCTTCTTGGGGCCTTCTTGGGGCTTCCCGGGGCCTTCCTAGGAGATTCCTGAAAGCTTTTGGGAGGCCTCTTTGGGGCCTCATGAAGCCCCTTTGAGGCCTTTTGGGGCCTCTTAGGGGACTCTGCGTTGGTGCCCTCTTGGAGCGGTTCACGGCCGGCTTGGAGCCCTCTTAGGAGCTCCTTGGGCGATCTTTGAGTCTTTTTGGGCCGACTTTGGGCCCTCGTGGGGGTATCTTGGGTTGTCTTGGAGCTATCTTGGAGTCCTCTTGGAGGCTTCTTGGGCCGTCCTGCGCGGTCGGAATCCCGAACAGGTGAGAATTTCAAAATCTTAATATAGAAAAACCTCTTGGGAATCAATTGTTCTGGTCTCCTTTGGCTCTCCAGGAGGGTCTTTTGGAGACCCCTTGGGCTGTCTTTTGGGGCGTCTTGATCTGTTGCGCGGCTGTCTTGGGAGCCTCTTGAGCTGTCTTGGGCCAGATTGGACCATCTTGGCGTTATCGGCTGCCCGAAAGCCGTCCTGGAGGCCATGAGGCTCCCAAGAAGGTCGCAAGGCATATCATGGGGCCCCCAAGACGGCCCAAGATGTCTTCAAAAGCCCTCCAGGAGAGCCCAGAGAGGCCGAAACTATTGATTGTCCGTTGGAAGGATGTTTGAGGTTTCAGGATGTTTGGGTTTCCGACCGCCCAAGACAGCCCAAGAGGCCTCCCTGGGCCGTCTTGTTGCTTTCTTGGAGCGCGTCAAGGCCGTTTGGGGGTCTTCTTTCGGGGCCCCTTGGGCGATCTGTGGGTCTTCTTGGGCCGACTTCGTGCCCTCTTGGGGGTCTCTTGGGCTTGGGCTGTCTTGGAGCTATATTGGATGCCTCTCGGAAGCCTCTAGGGCCGTCTTTGGTGGCTGGAAACACGAACAGGCGAGAACCTCAACATATTTCAGCTACTTGAGGGAAACTAATGGTGTTGGCCCCCTCGGGCTCTCTAGGGAGGCCTCTTGGAGCTCTCTCGGGCCGTCTTGGGGGCCTTTCTTAGGCCGTCTTGAGGTTCTCTTGGGGCATCTTGAGCCGTTTTGTTGTTGTCTGGGCTGCCTTGGAAGCCGTCTTGGAGGCGATCTTGGCCGTCTGGAGGTCGAAAAGACCGCCAGATAGCAATTTCAGAGTGGGCGTTTTTTAAGGGTGCGCGCGTCGAGGGGGGGGGGCTTAAAACTTTTCCTAACCTCCCAGACAACAGCATTATACAACGCATTCTAACACACCCACTCCGTGCAGGCACGGTGGCTGAATTCTGGCGGTGCCACATCGCCGTGTTGGCCAAGGCACTGTTTCTAGTGCGTGTTTTGCCCACGTGTGGCGCTTTCTTGGCATATGCGTGGCACCGAGCGGTCGTACAGGGACCGAAGCTGGGGTGGTGATGCACTGGCTCAGTACCATCCCCGCACTTCGCACATGCCCCAGGTGAGCGAATCGAATGGAGCAAGGCACAACGAGGACAAGCTCCCCATGAGTAGTAGGCTCTGGTCCCATGCGTGCCGTTTGTTGCCCCGCGGATGATTTCCAGTGCTTGGCACTGCACACTTCGCCCTCCTGATCTCTCGACGCGAGGCACCGCCAGCGCAGCGGCAGCACAGCCAAGAAGCTGAAATAAGGACCGCTTTGGGTTCGGAAGGGGCTCGCTGTTCCCTGGGCCATTTCGTGGTGGCTCAAACGACGCGAGGATCGGGACAAAATCGGATCGGAATAACTCGAAGTCTCTGAGAATCGGCGGGTTTGGAAGATGTATTGGGCGCCGCGGCCGCTCCAGACCGTTCCGGAACACTCTGAGAGCGCTCCGGAACGCTCTGGAGCGATTTATCCCGATCCTAGCCCTGTTTGAGTTGCTCCTTCAGCCCCCCTCGTGCACCCAGGCGCTGCTGGCGCCCAAATTGGGCTTCCCTTCTTGCGGTCGGGCCGAGGTATAAGATCGAGGTTGGTTCGGGGATGTACCCCAGTGTTCTTCGTGTTTGATGGATGGTCCTGTGCATCCTGGGGGAGGGCACCCTCCAATGTTCTTCAGTTTGGCCAGCGGAGGGTCGCATGCTCTTGAGGGATGTTATCGTGTCCTAGGTCCGGCCATATTTGGCGTCCCTTATTTCAGCAGCCGCAGCCTGACCGTACCTCTGCGCATGCGGAGAACCAAAAGGTACGAGTACCGCTGCTCCCCGGACCGCTCCGCTCTGACCAGGATGTCGAGGCGAATCCAGCGGTGGCGACGGGGGCCTCCCAGGAGGCTCAGCCCGAACGAAAGGGGGGGGGATAGGGAAAGGGGGGGGCACGAAATCTGCTGTATGCAGCTGGTTCCGGCCCCACCGCCGAGCCCCTTCCTCGATGCATGGGCGCCTCCCCGCGCCGGGAGGCGCCGGGAAATCAGCCACGTGAGCGATTCTCAGCCCCCCTTTTTGCTATCGCGCCCGCTTTCTCGGCACGCGCAGAGGGGGGGCAGGGGGATGGGGAAGGCTTCTACAGCACCCCTGCTTCTAGAGGGCCGGGGCCTTCTCTATCGAAGTAATGCCCAGGCCTTCTAAGAAGCAGGGTGCTTCTAAGAAGCCTTCCCCCCTCCCCTTACCCCCCTTTGCGCGCCGCCAACTTTCGCCCGGCCGCCCGAGAGGCCCACACAAAGGGGAGCACGAGAGCAAGGGCAGCAGCAGGGGGTGCCTTTGCCTCCTCCGAGCGGGCCGCCCCCCGCGCGCGCCGGCGCCGCTCCGCCTCGGCGGCCTCCGCCGTGGGCGCGCGGCCGCCGGCGCGCGAGGCGGAGCGCCTGCGCGTGGCGGCGGGCCCGCGGGCGCCAGGGCTGCGGACGCCCGAAATGGGTACGGAAAGATTGGGTGCAATGCCCAACAGCAGTTCCTGTTCATTCTGAACAGGACTCGCTGTCGGTGTCGCCGCGGCCTGCGTCCACTTGAGACAGAAGGCCGCCTGCCCAACAGCGGCCGCTGTTGGTTTGGGACAACATTTGTTGTTGACCATTGTACCCATTCTTTCCGCACCCATTTCGGGCGTCCAAAAAAAAGCCTGGATCGGGTCGGACGCAACGGGGGCCACCGAGCGCGTTCCACTACTCTTATGTCGGGCCTGTCCCCTTACGGGGGGATGTTGGGCGAAAAATTAAAAATAGGCGAAAAATGCACCAAAATGGCCAACAAGTATTCAAACCATCGTCCCCAGACTATTGTTTACCTATTTTTGAACATTCCCCCTGTAGAGGGACGTGCCCGACTTAACACCACTCGCAAATTGCCCGCTCGCAAACATCAGCAAAGCTCACGTTCGCCGCGCTGCAGTGAGCCGCAAGTCCCTCGCGGCGGATCCAGACCATTTGCGAGGAATTACTTGTTGTAAGTACTGGAGCGCGGCGCTTAGGGGGGGAGGGGTCGGGAAGGTTGTTCGACTTGATCTCGAGATCCAGATCGGCGGCGAGCGAGGTGGGGAAGTGAGAAGAAGAAGGCCTTCTCAGAAGGAGAAGGGGGAGTGCTAAGGGGAAGTGAGAAGGGGCGCGCGAGTCTGGATGGGGTCGGACGAAACGGGGAGGGATCGGGAAGGCTGTTCGACTTGATCTGTCGCCACGCCGTTTGTTCCGACGCGCGGCCTTGCGTCTTGGGGAGGGCGCCGCGGGCACCAGGGCAAACGCCGCCTCGGGCGCGGTGGGCTTGCCGTGGGGTTTGCCGCGGTGCTGGCCTCGACTGCTTGGGCGCGGGGCGCAGGGCTTGCCGTGGCCTTGCCGCGGCGCATGCAGCCGCAGTGCATGCAGAATGGTTCGATGCTCAAATCTGCGGAGGCGCTGGGAGCGGCTCACTAGTCGAGCTACACCCGACTAGCCAGTTCAGCGCTGCAACTATTCGGCTCTCGGGGGGTGGGGGCGTACGAAATCTGTTGCATGCAGCTGGTCTCGGCCCCGCCGCCGGACCCTTTCCTCCAGAGCACTAGCGCCTCCTGCGCCCGGAGGCGCCAGGAAAACCAGCCACAAGCTGATTCGCTGACACCACCTAGGGGGAGGAGGAGTAGGAGGAGTAGGAGGTGGAGGAGGAGGAGGAGGAAGAGGAGGAGGGAGGAGGAGGAGGGAGAAGGATAAGTAGGAGGAGCAGGAGGAGTAGGAGGAGGAGGAGGAGGAGGAGGAGGAGGAGCAGAAGGAGGAGGAGGAGGAGGAGGAGGAGGAGGAGGAGGAGGCAATACCTTTGTTACCCTCCCGTTACGTCCGACACGATGGATGCGCTGACGGCGCTGGACATCGGGCCGCGCTGTAGGGGCGGACGGCGCGAAGGAAAGCGGGTCTTGGAGCAGAGGGGTCCCAGAAGTTGTCCGCCGTTTGCGGGCCCTTGATGCCCTCCTCGCGCCAAGGGGCCGTGACGAGGCGGCCCGGGAAGAAGACTCGTTTGTGGGAAAGCCCCAGGGTGGGTCTGGGATCGAAGGGGAACAAACTCCAAAAACATAAGCTTGTGGCGCTCCGCGCAGATTTCTTGGATCCGCGCTGGGCACCCCCTGCGGCGCCCCCGGCGCCGCTCCTGGCGCGCTCCGCGCGCCAGGGAGGGGGGGCGCCCAGCGCGGATCCGAGAAGCCCGCGCGAACGCCAAAAGTTTGCGTGTGTGGCGTTGTTCCTTTTCTTTTATGGGACCCGTGCCTCAGGACCCCTTCCTTTCCTTCATGGGGAGGCAGGCTCTGCGTTCGCGCCGTGCGGGCGCGCGAGCACCACGGCAGGAGTCGCTGGGGAGGAGAGGTCCCCCGAGGTGGTCCTGGCCCCGGCCTCCAGCGCCTCCCCCTCCTCCACCTCCTCCCCCCCCTCCTCCTCCGCCTCCTCCTCCTCCTCCTCCGCCTCCTCCTCTCCTCCTCCTCCGCCTCCTCCTGCTCCTCCGCCTCCTCCTCCTGCTCCTCCTCCTCCTCCGCCTCCTCCTCCTCCTCCTCCTCCTCCTGCTCCTCCGCCTCCTCCTCCGCCTCCGCCTCCTCCTCCGCCTCCGCCTCCTCCTGGAAAGCCCAGGCGTAGGTCTGTCTCTGTTTGCGGCGTCCGGAGGCCCTGTTCGGGCTCCGGGAGCGTCAAGGAGCTGCCATGGACGACGACGGGGCCCGGGAAGTTGTCGAGCGGTCTGGGGCCCAGCATTGGAAGAACCGAGCCGTCGGAGGTCTGGGTGGCCCAGGGGCCCTGGGCCACCCAGGCCTCTCACAGTGGCGCGATCAGCTGGGGGCGCTCTGCGTGTCCCCAGCGGTTCGTGCCGCTGGTGGAGGTGCCCTTCTGGGCCTCGTGAGGGGTGGCCTGGCGGCCACCTGGGCCTCCCTGACAACGGATAGGACCAACTCATGGCATGCCGTAAGCGGGCCGCAACGTTTTAAGATTCGCAGGCTGGCATGAACCATCGTGTTTCCAGCCAGCGCTCGCAGTCGGCTCCATCTGCCGAGAGCAGACGGGTACCTTTTTAGCGACGCAGCGGCAGACACAAGAAGAAACGGGCGAAACGAGTCTTGGATCCGGGGTGCTCCTCGGCACGGGCCTTTCCCCCTGAGCTGTGCCTTGACGACCGCGGTGCCCCATGGAGGGCCCGGGGAGGACAGCAGCGGCGAGACACCTGGGGGCCCGCCTCCCTCGGGACCCCCTGCCGGGCACACCAAGGGGGGCAGCAGCTGGCCGAGGGCCGCCCCGAGAAGGGGGGAGGGGGCCCGCCGCGGGGCGCCGTGGGAGCGCCGCAGGGCAGGGGCCGCGCGCGGATCCCGCCGCTGGCGGGCTGCCGGCACGGGCAGGGGGGACGCGCCCCGCGCCGCGGGCAGCGGCGCGGGCGCGGCGGTCCCGCCGCGGGGGCACCAGGGCTGCGCTGCCAGGCAGCCTGCGCCCGCAGAGCGAGGCGTGCCGCCTCCGCCCGCAGAGTCAAGGCGAGGCGAGGGCTGCGCGCTGGTCCCGCCCGCAGAGCGAGGCGTGCCGCCTCCGCGGCGCCGGGGGGGCCCGCGACCCCGCGAGGCCGTCTGGACGGCCGCCTGCGGGGCCGGGGGCCAGAGGCGGGGCCGTCGGCCGCCTGTGCTCAGAACGGCCGGCGCACGTCGGGCGAGAGCACCCGGGGCCTCCCCGACGTCGCCGCTGCCTCGCCAGCGCGGCCAGTGCATCGCCGATGCGGCTCGATCCACTCTTACTCGGGCCACACGTGGGCGGCAGCCACGAGAGGCCCGAGGTCTCGCCAGGGCGCTTCCCCAGACCTCCGACATCGACGTTCATGTGCGGGCGCAGGGGGGGGGGGGGGGCCCAGGGGCTCCCAACACGGCGCGAAGAGCTGGGGAGACCTGCTCCTCCTCTCCTCCCCTCCTCCTCCTCCTCCTCCTCCTCCTCCTCCTCCTCCTCCTCCCTCCTGCTCCTGCTCCTGCTCCTCCTCCT